TGGGCCGTCAACTCGACGAGTTCCTCCCTCACATGAACATCGCATGAAACTCATCCGACTCGCCGAGTTGATGAACAACTCGTCGAGTTCACCTTCATCTGATGAACAAGTTCTGTCCTCGACTCGCCGAGTTGATGAACAACTCGTCGAGTTCATCTTCATCCTTAAGAAGATTGCCTTGGACTCGCCGAGTCTGTTCTAGCACTCGTCGAGTCCCATGAACTCCAGGTCTAAAATCACGTCCAATACATTGGGTAACTCTTCCTGTCCGATTACAACCCTTCTAACACTCAACTGGGTTCCTTTGACTCTCAACAGATATGGGGCTCAAAGCCTCGGACTCGTCGAGTCCCAAGAACGGACTCGCAGAGTCAGTCATGTCCACACTCTAAATCCTTGGTTTCTGATGTACAACCTTTGATCAAAAGATAGATCCAAGCTTCTATAATCGATCTAGCACGTAAAGTTACAAACTTTACGTGCTTGCATGGGACTTTGAGCTCAAAAAGACATAAAACAAGCTCTTAAGATGCATGGGGCCTTTCATGGGTGCAAAAGCAGTCCCCAACTGCCTTGTGACTCCTTTAATGACGTGATTTCGAAGCTCTAGCCCCCAACCATGTTTGCAAACATGGTTGGCCATCAAAAGTGGCTTATAAAAGCCCTAAATCTCCCCAAAAAGGGATCTAACAAATGAAAGAGCAAGGTTACAGCTTTTTACCTTCAATGAACTGTAGAAGGTGCACAAACTCGGGTTCCCTTGGTCTTTACTTGCTTCCTCAAGCCTTTCTCCTTCCTTCTTAAGACCACAAGCACCAAAATCCACCAACAAGGCTTAGATTGCTTCAATAACGGCTAGGGTTTCAATGAGAGGTGTTCTGGGAGCATAAGGAACGTTGTGGCCGACATAACATTGTTTAAATAGGGTGCAAACCCTCGGATTAGGGTTTTTGTCCAGGCAGAGTCTACTCGTCGAGTCCGGGACCCGACTCGACGAGTCCATCACTTAAATCCCGCGCCTCATCCCGCTTTTACTCGGTGAGTTGGTCCTTCAACTCGCCGAGTCCAAGGCCAAAAATGCAAAAATACTTAAATAAAAATACATACCAAGAACCAGGTGCTACAGAACTACGGCAACAATTCACTTGGAGAAATCAAGGGTTATGGAATGATCACTAATGGACAATTTTCCATTCGCAAGGTCGCATATGTGGAAGGTTTACAACACAACCTCATAAGTGTTTCGTGGTTAATTGTTGGTACCGGATTGAAAGTTTCGTTCGACGATGAGGGATCGGAGATTATTGAAAAAGAGACCAAAACAGTGCTCCTAAAGTCAAAGCGCAAAGGCGAGATGTATCCACTCAATCTGAACCCAATCAAAGGGAAGCCTGCCATTTGCCTACTTACGAAAGCTTCTACAGATGATAGCTGGTTGTGGCATCGTAGACTCTCGCACCTCAATTTCAAAGACATCAATAAACTCGTCATCGGTGATCATGTGTGGGGACTTCCACTCTTGAAGTATGATAAAGAACATCTTTGTGCAACCTACGAATTAGGGAAGCAGAGCAGGAAGAGTCATCCAATAGTCATGAATACGAAAGTCATAGAACCACTTGAACTCTTGCATATAGACCTTTGTGGTCCTTCTGCAATTGAAAGCATTGGTGGTAACAAATATATTATCGTAATTGTTGATGATTTTTATAGATTTACTTGGGTGCATTTTCTTAAGCAGAAATCAGAAGCCACTCTTAAGCTCAAGGATTTCATAAAGCAGATTGAGATACAACTGCGAAAGCTGGTTCGTAACATTCGCAGTGACAACGGTTTGGAATTCAAAAACCAAGTGTTTGATGAATTTCTGACTGCGAAAGGAGTAACTCGCAATTTTTCGGCTCCTTCTACCCCTCAACAGAACGGGGTCGTTGAAATACGAAACCGATCTTTGTGCGAAGCTGTGAGAACCATGTTGTCATTCGCGAATTTGTCGCTTTACTTCTGGGCGGATGCTATTGGAACAACCTGCTTTACCCAAAATCGATCAATCCTTAATAAGCGATTTTCTATTACTCCCTATGATATTATAAATAATCGCAAACCTAATGTCAAGTTCTTTCATATATTTGGTTCCAGGTGCTTTATTTTCAATTCTAAAGAGCAAAGGAAGAAATTCGATGTGAAGGCTGATGAAGCTATTTTCTTAGGGTATTCTCTGACTTCTAAGGCGTATAGGGTTCTCAACAAAAATTCCAAAAAGATAGAAGAAACCTACTATGTCACATTCTATGACAATTATTTAAAGAAGTATCAGAAGAATGACAGTCAATCAAAGGAGATATTTCCAAAGCTGAATCCAGCAACAATTCCACTTTCCGCTCTCTACGAGGAGTTCATGAAGTTATTCGATGAGCCAGAAAAGGCCATCTCCTCAGAATCCAAAGCAGCAGACAACAAGGAAGACGAATTGAATAAATTCATTGATGACGCTGCAAAAGATATGGAACACGAGCACCCTACTCCGAACGACTCTGAAATTTCGTCTCAATCAAAAGGTGCGAATGCTACAACTCATGGGGAGGGTTCTACTTCAACCTCCACACCTGATAAACCTTTTCAGGGGGGGGGGGGCATTCAACTCCTCAAGTGGCCCCCAAAAGTCCTCTCCAGGGGGATAATTCGATTCCAGAAGAAGAAATACATACATCATTCGAGGGGGGAATGAAAATACGAATGACGATTCAGATGTGCAGTCAGAATTTGAGGATGTAAATGCTGAATTAGATCCAACCTATGATCCTAATTACCCTCTGTTGGCCAAATGGACCAAAGATCATCCAAAAACTCAAGTAATAGGAGATTTGTCTTCAGGAGTTCTTACGGGAGCACAACAAAAAGCGAAGCGGACTGCATTATTCTCTAAAGTGGAATATTGCATGTTCAACTCGTTTATCTCCAAGATTGAACCTAAAAATGTTCAAATTGCTCTTGATCATTCTGATTGGATGCAAGCAATGCAGGAGGAGCTCAATGAATTTGAACGAAACAATGCCTGGAGACTTATTCCCACTCCAAAGGATGCTTCTGTTGTTGGTCTAAAATGGGTGTTTCGTAACAAGTTAGACAAAGAGGGAAATGTGATAAGAAATAAGGCGCAACTCGTTGTTAAGGGGTATTGCCAAGAAGAAGGCATTGACTACGAACAAACCTTCGCACCAGTTGCAAGGTTGGAATCTGTTCGCATCTTTCTGGCATATGCAGCACACAAGAACTTTGAAGTATATTAGATGGATGTCAAGTGTGCCTTTCTGAACGGGGAACTAGAAGAAACAGTGTATGTGGAACAACCACCAGGGTTCATAAACAAAAAATATCTGAACCACTGTTACATTCTGGACAAAGCAGTTTATGGTCTAAAGCAAGCTCCAAGAGCCTGGTACGAAACTCTTACTCGCTTTTTAAAACAGGCTAAATTTAAACAAGGATCGGTTGACCCAACCTTCTTTCGCAAGAAAGATGGTGACCACTTGATGATCGTCCAAATTTACGTTGATGACATCATCTTCAGATCAACTAACCCCAGATTAACTGTTGAGTTCCGAAAGTTGATGGAAACTAAGTTTGAGATGAGCTCCATGGGTCCGATTAACTTTTTCCTTGGTTTGAATATAAGACAGAGTCAGGAATGTATCTTTATCAATCAGGAGGCTTATACAAAGACCTGACTCTCTAAGTTTGGAATGGTGGGAGATTCGAAGGTGAAGGTTCCAATGGCATTCGGAACGAAACTAACACCATCTTTGGACAAACCGGCTGCTGATATGACACTATATAGTCAAATGATAGTTCCATTGATGTATCTAACAGCTAGTCGTCCAGATATCATGTTTTCTGTTTGCTATTGTGTCAGGTTTCAAGCGAATCCTCGCGAACCCCACATGACTGTTGTTAAAAATATCTTCAGGTATCTCAAACGAACATCCTCACTAGGAATATGGTACCCTTCAAGTTCAGGTTTCTTTGTGCAAGCGTTTTCGGATGCTGATCTGGAGGTTGCAGTTTGGATCGAAAGAGTACAACGGGAGGATGCCAATTTCTTGATGGCAAACTCGTAAGTTGGCAATCTAAAAGCAAACTTGTGTCTCCCTATCAACTACTGAAGCATAATACATAGTTGCTGCCTCTTGTACTTCACAAATAATCTGGATTCAAAGTCAGCTTCATGACTATGGCATAAATATGAAGCGAATCCCTTTTGTAAGTTGTGGATTTTATTTGTGTATGAGTGTTCGACAAAAGTACGTGGATACTTTCAAAACATGTAAAATTATATAAATTGACGTATCTAAAATACACTATCCGTGTTTTTTTTAATAATAATAATTAAGCCAATTTTCAAAATATAAAAGAGTTTTTTTTTGTTAAACGCTACTTGAATAGCTTTTAGATTTGAAACTTTGTTTTATCTAAAAGTTATAAGTTCCTAATGAAACTTTTTTTTTCAATTTTTTCTTAAAAGCTTTTAAAAATTGCATGCCTAACATACTCATTGTTTTCCGGAATATGATGTTTTATTTAACAATAATTATGATGTTTTATTTAACAATAATTATAATGTTTTTATCAATCTACGTAACCAAATAAGTTGCTTACCAAATTATTATACATGTCAAACTTTTGATAACAAACTGAAACATAACGACACAAATTGGTAATAAAATCATTTAAACCAATATCAAATACAATGATTACAAAAATCATCATGATAATAATAAATAAATTTAAGAAAAAAAAACATAATAAGTGAGAGAAAAGAGTAAACAGAAAAGGACACTAATAGTAAATAACCAAACTCCCAACTACAAAATTGCGTAGCATTGCCGAAATGGAACATACACTAATGTTCAAATTGTCAGATATATATATATATATATATATATATATATATATATATATATATATATAATATATATATATTATATATATAAGGATAAAAAACCTTCTCCCAATGTAGTTTCAGAATCTTGAAATAAGTACTTAAAAACAAGAAAACCCCTACAAAAGATGATGATGTAACATGAAGCCCATTTTCTTCAACTCTTTCCCCAAAAAAAAAAACCCAAATTTTGATCGAATTCCAATTTTCACATCTGAGGCCCAAGTGGCAACCGGTTCATCATCTGATGGTAAATGGGTGCACCAGGGTCCGACATGGGCTCCACCTTCGGTTCACCTTTTGGCAACATCAATGGCTGTGGCTGACCTAAATAATGATGAACAGGAAGAACAGGCATTTTCCCATGGCTATGGTGATGGTTAGCCAGACTGAGACCCATATGAGCCAACCCACCCGGTCCTTGTTGGCTCATTGGATACCCGTTGTATCCATGGGCGGTCCCACTCCCAGTGGGACCACCCATCTGACCATGACCACCACCAGGTAAACCATAATGATGGTTTACCTGAGCCTGAGCCCTATCGAAGCGGGCCATGGCGGTTTGCATACGAGATGGCTCAGGCATCGATAGGGCTTCTGGAGTCATGGTGTTGTTGTTATTATTATTAGCATGACTGCTGTTACGTGCAGCTGGCACGTCATGGTTGTGTTTCCCTTCGTAGGTTGTTATAACTGATTTTAAATCATGTGAAGCCCTTTCCACATGTTTCCTCACTGTGCACCCTGTGCTTGTACACTTGTAGTAACTCCTGTCAAATTTAATTTCAAAAAATACCAATTCATGTCAAAAAAAAAAAAAAAAAATTTCTTTACCCATAATAGCAATGTACTTACATTTCTTTACTTATACAGTAAAGTAGGTTGGTATTATTTATTATAATAAAAATAATAATAACCTGGGATTCGGGTTTCCTTTGACAACTTTTTGTCCATATTTACGCCAGCGGTATCCATCATCAAGAATGTCCACTTCACTGGTTGTTTGCACAACTACCCTCGGCTCCCTTATGGCCCGGGTGGCCCCACTTACATCAGCTGCATATGCTTCAACTTTTCTAAAAATATCAAAACATTTTAATATTAAAGGGTGTTTGGATAATTAAAAGTGATTATGTAACAAAACAGTTTTTTTCATGTAAAATTACCAAAAGTAGGTTACTCAAACCCTAATTACTTTCATGTAAAATTAAAAAGTGTAAGAAAGATTATTAAAACCTTCTTTTAGACTCGGATTCATCTCCTTCACCATCATAACCAAGTGACACGCTGCCATGTGTCGCACGGTCATCTTCCTCATCATTTGAAAATGTAGACGACCCATCCACAGCATCACTAGATTCAAAATGACCGTTTTGCCCCTGCATAGCCATCCCAGAAGATGTCACCTCATAATTACCTTCCTGCCCCCACTGACCACCATTCCCACCTTGCTCATTTCCATCACCTTGCATCTCACTTAACATGTTTGAAGATCCAACTCCAGATCTTTTAGTGGGCCCGAGTTTGGGATGATTGTGGGCCCCTTTGTAAATAATTTCAGTTATATGACCCTCGTGGGACCTTTCAACTTTCTTTTTAACAGGACAATTTAAATGAGTGCATTTGTAATAGCTTCTTGGATACTCACTTCCCTTCACTTGTTTCTGTCCATATTTCCTCCAACTATATCCATCTTCGGATGAGGCACTGTTGGAATTATTGCCAATATCTCCATTTATTCTTTGATCTGATGCATCATCTTCATGATGTTCTTGAGATCTTTCAGAATTGCCATTAAGAAAGCCTGAACGAATATGGAGTGAAGATGTTTCATTTTGTGTTGGTTCAATCTTTTGTGGTGGGAATTGTCTTTCAGATTGAACTAGACTTTCATTATGTTGAAAAGATTGTGTAGACATGAAGGCTGGATTCACCTAAATGATCCAAAAGAAACAATCATTAATGTTTATGATATATCTGAGAAAATAACTTTGAAAGGTATGTTACTCTGCTTACATGATCACGAGATACAGGAGCTGAATCTGGGAAAGGCTTAAAGGCAAAAGAAGTGTTATTAGTGTCCTCAAAGAAATTTTCTTTAACCCTATTAGAGGAATCCAAGAACATCATGGAGCTTCTCCCATTACCATTTGGAACAAATTGGAACTTTCCAGTAGTTGGAGATGGTTGAACCTACAACAGAAAGAACCAATCGAGATCATTTAGTATAGTAAATTACTAATATACCCCTACTTTATCTAGCTTTATAGTGAGCTTACCAATGAGTTGGAAAGGAAAACAGGTGATTCCAGAAATGAAGTTGGGCTAACACCAGGTGAAAATAAATATGGAGATTGTTGAGTTTGTGAATTATCAGAAGATTTTATAATCTCTGTATTCAACCTAGGAGCATTATGACCAGCTCTAGCTGCCATTCTTTCAACAAGAGGTGCCCTTGAGTTCGTTTTTTGATCACCAAATTCACTTGATTTTGTCGCATCACCATTTTCAGACCCGATTTGGGGATTTGGTCCAGGGAAAGTGAACCCGGTGTCGTTATTGGTATCATGTTTTGGAGGGTCGGGTACTGATCTTGAACCAGGATCATCCCCCAACATAGCAGCAAAAAAAGATCTAGGGCTAGGGCTCGGAGGCATCCAATCGCCAATTATCCCACCATGATCGTCAAATCCACCCATGAAAACCGAAAGCTTTCTTCCTTGATTATCTGTTCAGTGGTTTGTTAGTTTTTCAGACTTCGAAATTTCACACAAAATCGAAACAGTGATGATGGTGTTTTATGTACGAAATCATAGTGTTTTGGTCGTGTTTTTTTTGGAATCGTCAAGCTTTAAACAGTAATGATAGTGTTTTTATGTACGAATTAATCGATTGCGAAATAACAACAACAAATAAATGTACAGATTTAATTTCCGCTTTTGGTAAAACGATAAACCAAAAAAACATTTGAATCGTCTACCCGATTGAAGTGGGTAGACCACAATAATAGAAGATAATACAGTTTTTCTAAAATGGGAATCGAAAATCGATGATATTCAAACATTCGCTTTTCACATATTCTCGTGGATTACGCCCAATTTTGCAATCCCGAACAAAAAATCGATATCCGAAAACGATCTAGCTAAAGGGAATTCATTAAAACCAGAGATCTGAATGCGATTGCAAAATCCAACCAACTTCAAATCAAATCTATCATTTCTTTCACACGAACAATTAAGGGTATAAACTACAGAAACTAAAAATGGAAATCCAATTGAAGAATCGATGGAAATGATTGAAGAACATGATTAAGGGTTGTGATACGAACCTGGAAAACAACACACAGACAGTCAAGGGTAAGCTGATAACAAAGGAGACCCTTTTGTCTCCTCTGATTAGTTGATTCTCTGTGATTAACAGGCTTCCATTCGATTAAAGAAGTAATTTCTTGACAGATTTTTTTTGGTAATTTTCCCTTTGTTTTCCCACCTCAGCCCCCTTCTCTCTTACAAATCTTATTGCAGAGAAATTTATAAATAAATAAATGTATGGTTTGTTGGGGTGGACCCGAAATGATTGGAATTTTAAGGGTCTACCAGAGAGTGAAAAATAATTTATTTTCTAATTTTTGTTTCCTTTGTCTATTCTTAAAGAAAATATATTATAAAATTTCCTAATTTAAAAGAAAAAAAAATTACTTATCAAGGTAAAAATTTCCAACGGATGATTATAAAGTACGGACCGTTCTGAAACTGGACTGAACCTATTTTGAACGGGAGAATTGAAGATAGATTAAAAAGAGAACAGGAAACCGAGAACCAGATTGAATATCATTAACAGGTTTCGGTTCGGTTTCATTAGAAAATGTTATTTAAGAAGATGTTTGGTACCGAAAAGGGACCGGAACTGAAATAACCAAAAAACGACAATAACATATTGGAGGAATCAAGAATTTGACTGAGTTAAAAAGTTCATCATATTATAAAGACAAAAATTATTATTTTTTTAGATTTTTTAATTATTTATAGGGAAAATGACACTTTAACACAACAAAGTTTCAACTTTGTTCCGAATTGGTCACCGAAGTTATTTTTTGCGCAATTAGTCCCTAAACTTTAAAATTATACGTCAATTACGTCATTTTGAGCAAGGTAACTGGATGAGCCGGTTAGATTGCTTACGTGTAAATTATAAATACGAATAAAAAGAAATGTGAAGGTCACGTTAGTAATGTCACGTAATTATCAATGTAAGTGAGAGGAACTTAAGTTAAGCTATTATTCATCGTTTCATTATCAGTACTCCAGAACCTCGAGAAAGAGCTAGGGTTTTCAAGAATCTACAAAACGAAGTGAAGTAGCAAGCAAGCAAGCAGTAGTTATGTCAACCTTGAAACCCCCCCCCCCCTGCGATGTGTCCTATAGTTGAACTCAACTTTAACCGTGTGTTTATTAGTCGTCCTTTCTCTTACACTAACGGTATGAAATTCACCTTCACATATCATATTTTTCTGGTATGGCATACGTAGAGTGTGTTACTTTTCTCGTACGTTTCATGCAATTAGATTCTAAGAATATATACTACCGTGAGCCACGTGCTCCCCTTTTGAGTGACATTATACCTATTGCGAATGATGTGGACTATGTAGGTTCTGTGACAACCCGAAAATTTTTGCCTTGAAAGTCCAGCCATTCAATTCAACTGTGTGTCAGACTCGTTTCTGCTACCTTTTAGCATTGTTTAGAGTCTGTTTAAGGGTTCAAAACTCAGTACAATCAAGCTATGGGTTTAGGGAAGTGTCAGATAAAGTTCTTCGTGTTGAAATCGAGCCGAACACTCCATCAGGGGGAGTGTACGGCCGTACACATGAGTGTACGGTCGTACACATGTGTGTGTGGCCGTACACCCATGTTGGCCGTACACCCCCTCCATAAGTATGATATCCTTCCATTTCTAAGTCATTCCTTCAGTTTCCAAGTCAAGAACTCGAGTTTTCTCTCGACTATCATCAAGCTTTTCACCCCGATCTTTGTAACGGCCGTGTTTCTAGGCTAGGCATTAAAATTGACATGATAGTCTAGGTTAACCTTTTGTAACTCATTTTGAAGAAATGAAAAAGAATTATGTGTTTTATGCTTAATTATTAGGATTTAATTAATTAAGAATAAAAATGAGCGTCGAAAATAAATATTAGATAAAGTCGATATCTATTAAGAAAGTTGTAGTGGCCGTGACAATGATTACGGATATATAAAGAATACCGAATCCGAGTTATAACGAAGAAGTTATGACATGTCGAAGTTTCGCGACAAAACCGGCACGGTGCCGAATGACGTAAAAAGTGAGTTTTTGATAAACTACTTTTTAGCCTTAGTGATCTAAATGAAAGTCGTAGTGTTCGTTAAACCGAGAGTATGTATAAAAAGAACGTCCAAATCTGACTTCGTATGAGGAAGTTATGATTTTTCTAAGTTTCAGCTTAGCAGTAGACAGCTAAAAACTCGAATTTTAGATCGAGTGATTTTTAGCCGACACAACCTAAACGAGAATCGAAGGTCTCGTCAATAGTAGTACAACGGTAAAAAGATAGACGAAAACGGACGTCGGATGAAGAAGTTATGAATTTTTAACGGATTTCGTGTCCCGGTCTGTTAAAAATAATAATATTAAAATTAAAGTCAAAATTAGCCAACAAATTCTAAACGAAAGTTGTAGAGCGTAATTTTACCTACGCGTGCATATAAAGAAACGTCAAAAACGGAGCCCGTATGCGAAAGTTATGGATTTTAGAAGTTTTAGCACAAAAATCGAGAAAAAAAATGCTAAAACCGAGGAATTTCGCATGGCTGGTGTTCGGCCACGTCACCCGGAATCTCGCATGCATGCCACGTGCTCGTTGCTGATTCGACCGAAGGGAGGCCCAACCGAAGCAGTCCGCGTGTCGCCTCGTGTCCGAAGGAGCTTAGTCATCGATGCGCTGTGCAGCCGAGAGTCCGACGCGTGCCCAGGTGACTCCTCGCATCCGAAGCCGCCTCACCTCGCACCGACGCGTGTCGCACCACCTGTCCGAGCTTCGCAGGCGCCACGTTCCCCTCCTCGGACCTAGACCTCAGTCCAATCAGAAGCAGCCAGTTGGACCCTCGCACGTGCCTGGCCTTCGCATCTGCTGCCGCGTGGAGCCTTCTCAGCCCTTGGATCAGAAGCCTCGCCCCTATAAATAGAAGGGTGCGAGACCTCCCGGGGATAATTTGGAAACTTGTCATTTTTAACCCCTTAAACAATATTTCTTTCATTCCAACTTCCCCCAAAGCCCCGGTATTATACCAAACACCCGAAACACGTCCCGAAGTGCCCGAGAAGCCCGAGAAATTTATCTTTTCGGTTTTGAAGCCCAACCTTCGCAGAGCCCGGTTTCTCAATAAAATTCTCGGTTTTATTAGAAACGATCGTTTTAGGAAACGAAGTGTTGGCCGCTTATCATTAAATCAAGTGTGTGTGTAGTCACCTTCATCTTACACCTAGATATGAAGTATTTTCTATAAAATATGTGTTATGTGTAATTATATTAATTGTTTAATTGATGTGACTGTTGAATAGATGTTTTATACAAGTTTTAAACTATATATGTATTTTTATCTACAAATATGTTGGGTAAAACATGGGTAGATAGTTGATGTGTGATGAAATAAAATGATGAGAGGCCTCGATGTTTTTGTGATCCAGTCATCTAGCGGAGTATGGATGACGACGGACTTTTCTAGACAGTCTAATGGAACGCTGGCAGGCTCGCAACCTGTAGGTGTTAATGAGCTTGGGTGTTCATTTGTTGTACTTCATCCCTCTCATGGTTGCCTTTAGGACATGTATGGCTGAGGAGTCCCCTTAGCAGTAGTGTCCATCCCGATGATATTCTTTAGGCTAGGTCCCTTGTGATAGGTGTTTAGGGAAGTAAAGTGAGGATAACGGGAATGGGTAATCAGGATTATTGTTGATTGGTGAACTTAATAAGTTTATTATTATTGTCGGTTGAAAACCCTATATGCTCACCAGGCTCCCAAGCCTGACCCACTCAACTTTTTATGTTACAGGTAGTGGACCCCGAGCATAGTCGGAGGATGCTGAGAGATTTTTGGATTATAGGCCAGTAGTTGTAAATAACTGTTGAAAGGCTTATAATGTCTTGTTTATGCTTTTGATCTGTATCGGAACATGACATCCCGAGGTTTGGATATAAAAGGATAATATACACTTTCTTAAAGAAAGGCTTTGATAAATTTTTATCATGTTTTGTTTTGGGGACCAATTCCGCAACAACTTTTAAAAGGATTTCTCTGACTTTATTTTAAAAAGCATAAATTAAATCGGTCTTTTCTGGCCGAGAAATTAGGGGATGTCACAATCTTCAAGAATGTAAGCCTTTCTTTCGTTTTGATTAGTTGTTATTCTTCTTAACCTAGTAACACCCTTTAATTTCATCCATGCAAATCATCTTTTTGGGTAGATCTTCAAATCTTCATCCATTTCACCAAGAACACCAAGAACACTCACTTGTTCTTGGTGGTTGTGAACCCTTTTCAAGCCTCCAGAACGTAAGTATTCCTTCCCTATGCTTAGTACATGTTAGGAACACTTTTTTAACACCCTAAAAATGACCAAAACTCAAGATCAAAAGGAGTGTACGGCCGTACACCCATGTGTGGCCGTACACCCCTCAAAACACCCCAAAAGGGCCTCCAAAGTGAGAATCTAGTTCCTATCCTGGTTGAGCAATAGTCCCACAAGCTTCCCTATCATTCAAAGACCCTTTTGTGCACATTTTACCATGAGTGTACGGCCGTACACTCTATGGCCGTACACCAAATGGCCGTACACTCCTCATTGTGGTCGTATATTCCCCTTTGATGAATCACATGTGATTCTAACACTTGGTCCAAGTGTTTCCTAGTCCCTAAGGGTGTTTCCTTGCATGTTAGTTGCTTATAAACACTATATTCATGCCAACACATGCCATATATGTCATTTAGGACCCGTTTTTGTCTCGGAACTTCATTCGTGGAACTTCTCATCCTTACGCGCACATTCGTTTGAATCACCCACATAAGGTGAGTTCATACCCCTATAATCAATCTTTTAAATTGTTTAAAATGATTTTAAGGGGGGGAATACACGTTGAACACAATGATAATTGTGTAAATGTTTGTTATAAACATCTTTTAAAGGATTGCTTATGTTTATTTATAAGTGATCAAAACATTTCAAAAACTTTTTTTAAGTTATGTTACTTTATACTTTATAAAACTCCGTTTTTAAAGTACAATCATAACTTAGTAGATAAATGAGTCTTTTCAGTAACAGTTCAAGTAAACATACTAGTAAACTATAATAGGTATAGTTTAGGGGTTCAGTTCATACTAGATACTAGAACATACTATAAAGAGAAACAGGGAGGTAGATACAATACACGATAACAGAAAGAACATACTAAGATGTTATAACAGAAAGAACATAC